TTATGAAAGAATAAGAAGACATAAGATGATAAAAATATTATTCATCATTGGAAAAATAATAATTATTATTGCAAAGCTTATTATTTACTGTTATTTTAAAATTTAAAAAAAAATTGTATTGAATTGGAGAAGTAGTAAAGTGTATGGGGAGTTGGCCTTGGAGCCAGGAAGCTCTGGATCCAAGTCCTGCCTTTGACCTATACTGACTTTGTGACCCTGGATAAATCACTTAACCTGTCAGTGCTCTAGAGAACTCTTTTTATACCTTGTAGAAAAAAAGAAAAAAAAAAGACTACCTTGTAGAGAAAGTGCCAGTATGCTTTAGTAGAAGGCGTTTCCTTATGGAAAGGTTCCCTAAACTAGTAAAATTATAGATCCAGCACCTATCCTTATCTGCTTAATTTTAAAAATAAATTTATTGCTATATTTTGTTTTTACACAACAGATACTTCTCAACAAACACCAGAACAAACCCTTTTATAAAGTCCATTTTTACTAGCTGTCTCCTGTGCCTGTGCCTGGAATGTTCTCCCTCCTTGGCTCTGTTTTCTGTCTCCCCTGACTTCCTTCAAGACTCAGCTCAGATCTCGCCTTTCTGGAAGACGCCTGTTTTAGTATTCTCCTCCCCCGCCCCCCCACCCAGTGTCTTTGCTCTGAGACTGTCTCCCAGTTACACTGTATTCAGCTTGTTGCTGTTTTTTTTTTATTTAAAAAAAAATTTTTTTTTGCTTATTTGTATGTTTTCTTTCCCATTGGAAGTTGAGCTTCTTGAGGGCAGGGGTTGTTTTTGCTTTTCTTTGTAGCCCTAGCTCTTAGTACAGTGCCCTAAACATAGCAAGTGCTAATAATTGTTTGTCAACTGGCTGAAATCCTGGAAAAAAAAAACTGGGCTTTGATTATTAACAAAAAGGAGGGAATGTACCCTTAAACTTTTTCATTGTGCTATCACTTTGGCTGTTTTAATTGAACAGTGTTTCATTATTTCTTTGTGTTATTTTTATATACATTGGTGCAGCCATTACACTTGTATATATTATATACATTGGTACAGACATTTTGTATGTTGTTGTTTTGGCTGTGCTTTCTTCATTCCGTATTGCTTCATATGAGTCTTACCATGTGTCTTTGAATTCATGACATTCCTCATTCCTTACATTTGCTGTAATGGTCCATTCCATCTGTATACCATAGTTTGCAAAGCATTTTTTTCCTGTAAATATTCTGCAAAAAAGTGGTTTTGAAGTAAATTTTTCTAGAATGATGCCTTCCTCCACTAAAGTTCTACACTGGTGCTCCACCTTGATGTGGAGTTGACCCGGGATTCTCCAGGGCTGTGGAAGCAACAAGTGCTAGCAGCTCCTACCAAGATAGGAAGGTTTTGAGTATGACTTGGTTGATGGACTACGCATATATCTGCCCTCTGGGGACCAACCTGGCTAAGGATGGAGATGCTTATCAAAAGACTGGCCATCAGGTGATGAAGGTTTTGGCTACTCAGTAAAAATTCAGTTGTTTTTCAGTCTTTCCAACTCTTCATGACCTCATTTAGGGTTTTCTTGGCAAAGATGCTAGAATGGTTTGCTATTTCTTTCTTCAGCTCATTTTACAGATGAGGTAAAGTAACTAAGGGTGAAGTGACTTGCCCAGGGTCACATAGCTGGTAAGTGTTTGCGTCCAGATCTGAACATAAGAAGATGAGTCTTCCTAACTCCAGGCCTGGCACTCTATCCACTGTACCACCTAGTTGCCCCACACAGTAAAAGACCATCTCCCAAATCACAGGAGATCTGCAGTCTGTATCAGTGGATGGAGAGGCTGCACCAATGAATCATGGATCTTGAGTGGATTGATCTTGAATTATAGACGGTCACAGAATCAGAATTTTAGAGTTGTAAGAGACCTCACTGACCATTTAGTCCAACCCTTACCTGTCCACTCCCACTATAATATTCCTGACTATAGTCATGCAGCCTCTGAACCACTTTGGGTTGAGGAAACCCATTCCCTTTTGGGATACTTCTAGTTGTTAAGAAAATTTTTTTTCCTGATATCAGATCTATTTATCTATCTATACACACATACACACAGATGTGCATATGTATATATATATATATAGATTCCTTCTGTTTTCCTTTAGGCATATCTGGTGGGATGTGATACCAATAAACACGGACAAAAACTATTGAAGACTCATGTCTTTTTCTGTTGTTTCAGTTATTTCCCATCTATAATCTGAATGAATTTTCTTGACATTGCTTTTAGAGATGTAGAGATATCCAAAAAGGAAAAAGGTGCCTGGCAAATAGGAGAGTGAACAAAGACTTTGAAATAAAAGGACATGGGTTCAAATCATGCTTTTGATGTTTATTTCCTGTGTCATCCTGGGCAACCAATCAATCTACAAACATTTATTTATTGCCTACCATAGGCCAGGCAGTGTGCTAGGCATTCATCTAACCTTCCTAGATATCATTTTCCTTACCTATAAAATGAAGGGGCCGAATTAGATCTTTGACGTCCCTTTTCTTGCTCTATGGTCCTATGTTCTTTCTGGGAGGGATTCTTAGTGCATAGAGCATTGAATTTAGAATCAGACAACCTGGATTCAAATTTTGACTCTGTCCTTACTCTTTGTGTGATCTTACTACCTGTGTGATCATGGACAAGTCACAAATTTCATGAGCCCAGAGGTGTGCGTTTACATAAGCCTGCGCATTTCAGTGTAAGCATTTACACTTCAGAAATTGGCAATACAAATCAGGACTTGAGTTGTCCGGAGTTAAGAAAGTGATGGAGAAAATGTTAATAATGCTGAACTTCAAAGTGCATTGTGCATGCTTTTTTTTTTTTTTTGGAGAGCTAATTATTAAACATTTACCAGTAGACGACTGCTTGAATCTCAGTTTTTTCAGCTACAAACTTAGGGGATTGGATTAGATAACATCTAGAGTCCTTTCCAGCTCTGAATCTATGATTCACATGAATTCATGATCTTGAATCTTAAATCTGTGATCTGAATCTATGCTCTTTGAAATGAAGGAAGCACTTAGCAAACTAAAACAATGCATGGTTGGGTTCCATGTTTCACCATCTTTATTGCAGTGATATCACTTACTTTGGTAAATTCACATTCCAGTTTAAAAGGCCTGCAAGCAAGTCAAACTTTGTTACAAATTCAAGTATTTTAAAATGTACATATTAGAAGCACAGAGAGCTGCATAGTAGAGTTATAAGGACATTTGCGATGCCATGGGCACTGTACAGAAATTTCACTAGATACATAGCTTATGATTTTCTGTTGCCTAGCAATACAATGGCTGTAGAACAGAGACCTGAATAGTTATATTTAAAATAGAAAAAAAAAATAAAACCAGAAGGAGGACATCAGCATGTATAACAGCAAGTTTAGGTCAATTGCTGACACACTGGTAAACATTTAACTGGCTGCTGTGTTCTCAGCAAAATGAAACATCCCTTGTCACCAAATGGAAGAAACTAAACTTGAAAAAATTTAAATTGATTGAAAGAAAAAATTTGAAATTTCTAATATCCCTGTATTATGTGAAAGATATGCTTTTTTTCCCTAGCTAAAATGTGCGTTTTCAAATTTGAATTAGAAATGGGAAATACTATAAAGGCTTTACTAAAATGCTGACAAATCCATAGCCCTTAAATGTTGATCCATTGACTGAAGAAGTATGTCCAGTTGAATTTAACCATGATTCTTGAAAAAACAAGTGAGTAGGCCATTAGAGTAAATGGATCTTCAATGTCTCAAGCCCTAAAATAAACTCTATTAAGCAAGTTTTGTTATTTTTTTTAAAAGGGATTTTCCTCATGGGTATGTTTTCTTGCTTGTGTTTTTACAGTTTAAACAATTTCTGTATTTAAACATTTTGCAAAGAACTCCTAGCTTGACTTAACAATAAGATATATCTTGATATCTGCAGATGAGTCAAAGACATGTTGGGAGAATATTTTACCCTGTTTAGCACCCAACCTGAGGTGCTTATTGGACATTGACGTTACTTATATTTAATTTCATAGAGGAGAAAACTGGTGGTGAGTTTTTAGGTAACTATTAGTATTCTCTTTTAATCACTTCTGGTAACTACAGCAACCATTTCTTCACTTTGTTTTTTCTTGCCGTGTTTGTATAGGCTATAAATTCTGTTGGCAGCACGCTGAATATGGTGCTTTGTAGGTAATGACTTTTCTTTGGAAGTCTGGAAGACAACAAAGACCAAAACTTTGCAGGTGTAGACTACTATTATTTAGCTGTAGAACTAGGCTTAGGGTGTATTCTTGTAGGTTGGACGAAGCTGGTTATAGAAAATAACTCAGTCGGGGTGGGTGGTTGTTCTCTGCTATACATATGCAGCTGATCCCAAAGAAAAATTACCGGCCAGGTGAATAGTGTGTTCTCCTTTCAAAGGTTAACTTTTTTTTTTTTTTGTAGATAGAAAATAGGGTTCAAATATATGATGGATGGTCATGGGTTGGGATTAAAAAAAAGAAAGTATTTTTAAGTTTCAAAATTTTTTGATGATGAATAAAGTGGTTATTGCTACTCTTATAACGCTGATTAGGAAAAGAAAAAAGCATTGAATTATCTTGGTTTAAACAAGGGGTTCAAACATTTCAAAGCAATTTTGGGTTAAAATGTAAGGTATGACTCAGACATTTTAATTCTTAAAACCCTTCCATGTGTGAGTGGAAGGAGAATTGGGGGAGGGAAACAATATTTAAGAAGTAAGTAAAACAAAATAAGTAATATCTATCAATTAAAAAAATTCACCTTCAAAAATAATTATTAGATGTTGGATTTTGAAAAATTTATTCCCTTAGCCTTTCTCTTTCAAAGAGAACTACATGTTCATTATATATATTAACACAATGATTTAATAAATTTCCTTTTAATAACATTTGGGGACACAAAGGGGACAGTGTGGCCCATCTAGATTCATCTGGATGTGATTTTCAAATCCCTTTGAATACAGTCTTTGGATTAATTAGCTCCTGTTGAAGGTTTGATAGAGGGGATGCTGCATGACCTCCGCATAATGAGCCTGACCTCTATGTCGGGTAGATTATCCTGTTTAGTCTGTAAGCACCCTTCATCTGTGGCTGCTAAGTGTAGATCAAATCGTAGAGAAACAGATTTTTTCCTTAATCGTGGGTTATCTTTAAAGAAAGAACCTTCCCATTCTTTAATAACTTCATCCACTCTTTCTGTCCTGAAATGAAAAATTAAATCTTTTTGTAGTAAGCAGAGAAATAATGTATTGGAAACATGGAAAACAGTAGAAAACATGGGATGGGGTAGGAAATTTAGGGCATTTTTATAAAGAAAGATATGACTAAACTTTCTATGGAGGCAAAACATGTAAAGTTCTGTTTTGGGATTGTATTTTTAGGAAAAATAACAAATGAAAGGGTTAGTCCTATTATAGCTGAGCTTTTGTTCAGTTGGAATATATTTGTAAAGATCAGTTTATTAAGAATAGATATTTATTTCAGATTAAAATTTGATATATTAGCTTAATTTAAGAATTTGATATATTAGCTTAATATAAGAAAATGAAAGATTAATTTAAATAAGGAAAATAATTAGATTTTAACTGTTTTCATTACTGTAATTACTCATTTATTTTCGATTTAAATAAATGCTTTCAATTTATTTCTTCTTGTTTCCTTGCAAGTCACTCATTTAACATCTCCATGCCATAGGCAACTTTCTAAGAATAACTGGGAAGCTTATGACCTACATTGGTAGAATTTCTCCACCTAGGAGTTTCCTGTGACAATGAAATTATAGATCTGGTCCTCATCCCAGTCCCTATCCCCTGCATAAATATTTTTTCTTACTGTATGGTCCCATGGGCTTCAGTACTTTCCTTCACAACGTTTCCGTTTAAGATGGCCTGTTTGGTCACAGTTTCTACCTTTTCTTTCTCACGTTTGTGTATGACCTCTGTTGAAAAAGACACTTCCTGAGGAATGTAGCATTTACTGGATACTGAAACTTATTATTCATTAAAATATTAAATGATGAGAGTTAGCTTGGAATAATACATTAGAGGGAATAGTCTTGGAGTTAAGAAGACCTGATCCCAAGTGCTACTTCAGATACACACATTCATTTCCTTAGCCCCCTGGATGAAAGAGTCTGTGTGGCACCCTCCCCCCCCCATTCCCTTGTATACATTTGTTATATGTGTTTATAGAGTTTATTCCAAGAGTACGTAAGCTTTTTGATGGTAGAAACTTTTATTTTTGTCTTTGTATCTCTAGTGCCTAACATACTTGCTGGCACATGGTAATTACTTAATAAAAGCTTGTTGATTGATTTTTTTTTTAACTGTGGGATCATGGAAAAGTCACTTAAACTCTCAGTGCCCCATGCAAATCTTTATGAATGTAAATTAACCTGAGGTCTATTAACTTGATTTTTTTTAAAAGAAAGAATTTTGATAACTGTATTTCAACATAACTAGTTTCTTTTATAATATTCTGTTTTTTGTTTTATGCATTTAAAAACACTATTCTCCAAAGGAGTCCACAGGCTTCTCCAGATTGCCAGGACACACATAAAAAGCTAAGGAACCCTTATTATAGGCAATTGTTGATCTGGTGGAAGGCATTTTCACTTGCAAAGTTCCCTTTGCCAATAAATCCTAGGCCTAGTCAATTAAATAGTAACTTACAATTAGTTACAGGCTATATTAATTAATTTACATTTTGAGTTTTTACTTGCCGTTTTTAATATTCAGTGTCAAATCACGATATAATTGCTATAAATGGTCAGTGGTAATAGTAATAACATTTTAAGATTTGCAAAGCACTACATCTATACTATCTCATTTGATCCTCATAACAACCCTATGAAGTAGATTATTGTTATTATCTTCATTTTATAGAGGAAGAAAGTAAGGCCAAGAGAGCTTAAGTGACTCGTCTAGGGTCATATAGTTATAAGTGTCAGGTAGGATTTGAACTTCCCAACTCAATGTCCAGAACTCTAGCCACCAGACCACCCAGCAGCCTAATTTACTAATGTCAGCAAACTCACCTGGAGGTAAGATAAAGCCTACTCGACTTGTAGTAGGCTTTATATCTTCTTTCCCAGATTGAATAGAACCGTAATATCTGGAGAAAAAAAAAGGAAAGAATTGTACCATGGTGATTAAAAAAATTAGATTAATCAAGATCTTGAATGAGGACATTATTAATATACATTAATTATGGTTTGAAAATTTTCATTCATATTTTTCCAAGGACTTAGTTAAGTATTTCATGTATCAGATATTTAATAAATGTCTGTTAATGATACACATGTGTAAATACCTAAAAAGAATAAACACACAGTTAATGAAAATTAATTTTTTGGAAGGTTTTAAAAGAAAAATTTCATCAGATTCCTCTGAAATAATTGGAGATATCTGAGGTGTCAGCAAACTCAAATGGGGAGTTACTGTTCTAGAATTTCACCTGAGAGGCTTCTAGAGTTAAATCATAGTATCAAGTATGTATAAAAGAGGCAAATTAATCTTCCATATTGTGAAGGAAAGGGCCGGGTAATGTAAGCATAGTCCTTGAATTTATGACATTTGCTGGCTAAAACCATTTCATGACCTTAGTTGTAGTAGATATAGTTTTGAAATAGTAAATTAATTCATTTCTTAGATATCTTCTCTCTCCGCCCCCTCCAAAACCCCACCCCAACATACAAACAAATAAACAACAAAAAAAAACCCAATCAAGTACAGAGATTTCGTTTTATGGACACTTCTCAAATTAGAAGTCAAGTGACATCACTACCCTCTGAGCCTGTAAGTGGTTGAACTGAAATTTCAGTTCATGGGAATGACTGAATTTAGTCTCCTTTTCATGATAAACATCATTCCTTCCTGTCAACATAGAGCTGCCTTCTAAGTCATGTTTAGAAAAATGTTGTTCTCCCATTGCTGTAATATCACATTGTGCTCACTCACATTTTGTTGTTGTTGTTGTTGGGCTTATTTCATTGCTACTGAGAACTCCTTTTGAGGAAACTCTCTCTACCAATCTTCTGCAATTTAGTCTCAGAGAGAGTTGTTTAGTTCAGAGAGGAACTGAAAGGCTGAGTGAGTTTCCCAGTGTGAACCAATGTTTCAGAGGCAGGATCTGAGTACAAGTTTCCATGACTCTGAGGCTAGTCTTCTATCTACTGTGCCACACTGTGCCACACTGACAGAGGATTGATTATAAGTAGTAGTGATGTATGGATTTTAACATTTTCACCTTATTTTGTGGTTGGCTCATGCAAGACACAAAATGGTCTTAAAAAACATGTGAGTCCTGAGAATAAGTGAGTGCAGCTGAGCACAAGGCTCACTTGTCAGTATCTGAGAATTACCTTAATTAGCTATGTGACACTGATTTCATTTATTACGCCTGACTCAAGTATTTCCACTGCTGACTTATAAAGGGCCAAGACCTAATCTTCCGTCTGTTAATTATAGTCCCCAACCAGAAAGACCCATCTTCATGAGTTCAAATCCAGCCTTAGACACTTACTAGCTGTGTGACCCTGGGCAAGTCACTTAACCCCTTTTGCCTCAGTTTTCTCATCTGTAAAATGAGCTGGAGAAGGAAATGGAGAACCACTCCAGTATTTTTGCCAAGAAAACCCCAAATGGGGTCATGGAGAGTTGGACATAACTGAAAAATGATTTAACAACAATTTACCTTAAGTAAAGGGACTGGACCAGGGGGTTTCATTGGCATAGGGAACTCCCAGATGAGGAAGCTCGCATTACCAATGCAGGTTGGCACTTCCTCTGTAACTTAGAGTCTTAGGGGGTTGCCTAGGGTTGCCAAGAAGTTAGGTAGTATCCCCAGCGTCACAGAGCCAATACGTGTCAGAGCTGGGACTTGACCTCAGGTCTCCTAACTCCGGCTTCTTTCTAGCCACTATGCCATGCTGTTTCTAGCCATTATCTTAGGAACTCGATAGGTAGAATGTGGTGGTGTGCATGGTTTGGAGGGTAGGTTTTTTGAGCCTGTGTTCTCTTTCTCTTCCTGGTCACTTCGCTCTCTGGATGGAGTCAAGTACCTGATTTCTTCTTTTTCCAGAAGGCGGCGATAGGTCGCTATCTCTTGTTCTAGCCTCATCTTCGTGTTGAGTAGCATCTCATGCTCTCTGAGCTGCTTTTCAATGCCTCTCCTCACTTCCGCCAGTTCTTTCTCCAGGCCTTCGATCACAGCCTCCAGGTCTTGAAGCTGCATCTGGTAATGTTGCTCCGACTCTTGCAGTGAATTTTCCAGGCCTCTTTCCTGTATAACCAAGACAGTATTAGTGACACAAAATGTAGCTTTGAAATCTGATTTGAACTGTCAGTAGTGGTACATATTTAAACATGTTATACAGAGGTTTCTTACCCATTGCAACAGGGGTTCTTAACCTTGGTCTGTGTATAGATTTTGGAGAGGTGTTTCTGTGAGCGTAGATGCGGAAAAGTATACCTTTATTTTCACTAACCTCTACCTGACATTTAGCATTTCTTTCAATTATTCAAAGTCATTTTTCTCAGAAGGAGGCCATAGGCTTCACCAGACTGCCCAAGGGGGCCATGACATAGAAAAAGTGAAGAATGGGCTTATACTCCAAAGAAGGGATTGAAAATGAGTGAATCCTCATGTATTCCAAAATACTTATAGCAGCACTTTTTGTGATAGCTAAGCATTGGAAACAAAGTAGTATTCCCCATCGACAGAGGAATGCCTAAACAAATCTTGATACATGAATGTAATTGATTATTGTTCTAGAAGAAAGGATGCATGTGGTGAGTACAGAGAAGCATGGAAAGATCTACATGAACTGATACAGAGTGAAGTAAATGGAATCAAGAAAACAATATAGTCAGTAACTACAATGTAAATGGAAAGAACAATCCCACACCAAAAAAAAATCAAAAGTAAAGGTAACAAAATTATAAAGACCGAATATGACTTAAATGAAAATATGAGAAGACAGCCCCAACACACGCCTTGTACCAGCAGGAGGTCCACAGTTGTTACACATTACATATGTTTTCAGGCTTTTTCCATATCAATTGTGCTGATTTTTTCCCCTCTCTACAAAATACTATTTGTTATTTGGAAAGGCTCTCTGTGATGGGAAAGGAGGGGGATACATGGGATAATTATGAGGCTGTAAGAAACAGAAGATATCAGAAATAAAACCTTTTTTTTAAAGGTAAAGAATCCCTTCATTACAAGGTTACCTATAGATTATACTTCACTTTATATAATAAGCCATCCTCTCCAGTTCTGGCTGTCTCTCAATATACTGATCCCAGAAGGGGAGTTCACACACTCCTTGTTACTCATTGCCACTTCCAGACCCTTCTCCTGCCATCATAATAATACTTGCTAACATTTATATAGTACTTTATTGTGCCAGGCATTGTGCTAAATGCTTTGCAGTTATTATCTCATTCACTTCTTACAACAACTCTAGGAGGATGAGGAAACACATGATTCACAGATGAGAAAACCAAGGCAAACAGCAGGTAAGTGACTTGCCCAGGGTCACACACCTAGCAAATATCTGAGAGTAGATTTGAACTCAGGTCTTCTTCACTCTGGGCTTAACACTCTACCCATTGTGCTACCTAGCTGCTCCTAATCACTCAACAAGTAATCTCTTTTTAAAATTAAAAAAAATTTAATTTAGTTTATTTTTTTGTTACATTTTAACTTCTGAACTGTCTCCCTCCCTCCGTCCTCTGCCACCCTCCTTCCTAACCCTACACTAGAGAAGTCCACCATTTGACACAGATATGTAAAACTGTACTATGCATATTTTTATTTATCAGTTCTTTCTCTGGAGGTGGATAGCATCTCCCTTCATAGGTCCTTTGTAACTGATTTGAGTGTTTTTAATACCAGAATTACTGAGTTGTTCACAGTTATTTTTTGAATTATATTGTTGGTACTGTATACAATGTTCTCCTGGTTCTGCTCATTTCATTCTTCATTATTCATGCAAGTCTTTTCACATTTTTCTAAAATCAACCAGCTCATCATTTCTTACAGCACAGTTGTATTCCATTACAATTACATACCACAACTTGTTGAGTCATTTCCCAATTGATGGCATACCCTCAATTTCTAATTCTTTGTTACCATAAAGAGAGCTGTTATAAATATTTTAGAACATATAGGTTCTTTTCCTTTTTCCCTGATCACCTTGGAAAACAGACCTAATAGTGATATTACTGGATCAAAGGGTGTACAGTTTTTTTTTTAACTCTTTGGGCATAATTCTAGATTACTCTTCAAATTTCCATAATGCTCTCCATAATTCCAGATTGCTCATAGTTCCACCAACAGTGTATTAATGTCCCAAATTTTCCATATCACCTCCAACATTTGTCATTTTTCCCTTCTATTATTTTAGCCAATCGGCATGAGAGGATATCTCAAAGTGGTTTTAATTTGCATTTCTTTAATCAATAATGATTTAGATCACATTTTCATATGACTATGTATAGCTTTGATTTCTTCATCCAAAAACTGCCTGTTCATATCCTTTGACCATTTATCAATTGGGTAATAACTTATATTCTTATAAAATTTACAAAGTTCTCTATATATTTGAGATATAAGACCTTTATCCGACAAACTGTCTATAACCTCCCCCCCCACTTTTCTGCCTTCCTTCTAATCTTGGCTACATTGGTTTTATTTATATAAGCCCTTTTTAATGTAATGTAATCAAAATTACCTGTTTTACATCTCACAATGCTCTTTATCTTTTGTTTTATAAATTCTTCTCCTAGCCATAAGTATGATAGGTAATGTGTTCCATGTTTGTCTAGTTTTCTTATGATATCTCCCTTTATATCCAGTAATATGTCCATTTTGACCTTATCTTGGTAAATGGTGTAAAATATTGGTCTGTGCCCAATTTCTGCCAGAACTTTCAGTTTTCCCAACAATTTTAAAAATTTAATTCTTATCCCAAAACTTAAAATTTTACATTTGTCAAACACAAGGTTATTATAATCATTTACTATTATGTATTGTATGTCTGTACTATTCCACTAATACACCTTTCTATTTCTTAGCCAGTACCAGATAGTTTTGATAATTACTGCCTTATAATACAGTTTGAGTTCTGGTATACTAAGCCTCCTTTACATGTTTTCCCATTAATTCTTTGGATATTCTTGACTTTTTGTGCTTCCAAATGAATGTTATTATTTTTTCTAGCTCAATAAAATAATTTTTTCATAATTTAATTGGGATGGCATTGAATAAGTAGATTAGTTTAGGTAGAATTGTCATTTTGTCTCTGCCCACCCATGAACAATTAATATTTCTCCAATCATTTGAATCTGACTTTATTTATCCAGAAAATGTTTTATATTTATGTTCATGTAGTTCCTGAATTTGTCTTGGCAGTTATACTCCCAGGTATTTTATACTATCTAAGGTTATTTTAAGTAGGGTATCTCTTACTCTCTCCTCTTGCAGGGTTTTGTCGGTGATTAGCAATTAGCCTCTTCTCTGATATTCATGCTAAATGCAGATATATGACCCAATCCAGTTCCTGATGGAAGCTGTTTGTCAGCCCCCGACTAATTCTGCTTCCTTCTTCAGAGAATTCAATATCTATATTATTTCTCTTCCACATCCTGAACTTACGCTGGGGAACTTCGACAAAAATGCTGATGCTCCCTCAAATATCCTGGTCACCCATATCCTCAATCTATTCAGCTCCTGTGACTTACTCCTTTGATTCCTTTCAGCTCCACACAGGGTTTGCCATCACTCACAAGGGTTCTACTTTCATTGTCAAGAATTCTGACGTTCCTTTTTCTGACTACAACCTTCCATCATCCTATCTTTCCTGACTCCTTTTAAGTGCCTTCTTTGTCCTTACTCTCACTTCCAAGCTCTCTCACTCTCAATACTCTTCCAGGCCATCACCTCTGCTCTGATTTCCCATTCCTCCCTTACCATACCCTTGACTAGTTCAACTTCATATTGTCTTCCCATCTTGAATCTCTTACCTCCCGATCCTATTGTAATCCTTTCACATACTTGGCCAAACCCCAAACCTGGATTACCTTTGCCATTTTCATACCAAATTACCCAGGTTTGCAACTTCAAATCATCCTGAATTTCTTACTTTTCTCCACCCAGCACTAGGATGTGTGGGAGGGTAAGATGTCCCTTTGCACCCAAACTAGGATAGTTTAGATCATCATCACATCTCACTTGGACTGGTTTCCTTGTCTCATGTCTGCCCTCTCTAATCTACCTTCTATTCAGCTGCCAAACTGATATTCCTAAAGCAAAGCACAGGTTTTACTATGGAACTACCCTGCTCACAAAACTCTGATGGCTCCTGTTATGTCTGGAAACCAATACAAACTTCTCTATTTGCCATTTAAAGTCCTGCATGACCTAGTTTCAACCTATCTTTCTAGGCTTATTTTTCATCATTCCCCTTTCCACATATTTCAGTCCAGCCAAACTGACTTTCCTGCTGATCCTTACTTAAAGCAATCCATCTCCCATCTCCACGCCTTTATATAAGGCTGTCCCCAATGCCTGGAATAGAGTCTATTCTCACCTGTACCTCTTAGGACCTTTAACCTCTTTAAAAGCTCAGCTCAAACACACCACCTCTTTCATAAAGACTTTTCTGATCCCCCCAGCTGCTAGTACCTCCTGCCTACATTACCTTGTATATACTCTTTGGGTATATATAAGATCATAGAATTAGAGCTAGAAGAGAGCTTAGGAACCATTGAATTCAAGTTCTCCATTTTGCAGATGAAGAAACCAAGGCACAGAGAACCTAAGTGACTTGTGCAGGGATAGTGGACAGGTAAGTGTCTGAGGCAGGATTTGAACTCAGGTCTTCCTGACACCAAGTCCAGCATCCTATGCACTGTGTCAAACATGTTGTACATGTTTTCTCTGTTGGAATATGAGCTCATTGAGATCAATGCTTAAAAGGAAACAGATATGTGGCATAGCGGATAGAGTGCCAAGCATGGAGTCAGGAAGACCTGAGTTCAAATCTGGCCTCAGACACTTACTAGCTGTGTGACCCTGGGCAAGTCACTTAATCCTATTTGCCTCAATTCCCTCATCTGTAAAATGAGCTGGAGAAGGAAATGGCAAACCACTCCAGTATCTTTGCCAAGAAAACCCCAAATGGGGTCACAAACAGTCAGATTTGACTGAAATGGCTTGAACAACAATAAATGCTGTGTTGATTGATATCAATTCCTGAAGAATTATGGACATAACAAAATGCGGTCAAGCAATGGATACAGCTCTGTGCCTAGAGTCAGGAAGTCCCAAGTTTGTATCTGGTCTCAGACACATATGAGCTGTGTGACCCCGGATACGTCATTTAATCTATATTTGTTACAGTTTCCTCATCTGTAATATAAGTATAATGATAGCACCTACCTCCCAGAGATGTTGTGAAGATAAAATGAAATGGCATTTGTAAAGCACTTTCCAAACCTTAAAGCACTATATAAATGCTAGTTATTATTATTAGTATTGTTATTATATACAAAAGACTTTGTTACTTAAGATGATTCTTTTTACATAGCAAAGAATCCAGAAGCTTGATTAATCTCACCCTGATTTATCTGTATAACAATATTAAAACTGTTGATTTTCTCCTATGTCCATTTTAAGAGTGGAGTCATGTCTCTTTAGTTTTCTAAGAAAATTTAAAATTAGAATAGAAAGCTATTCTTTGGCAAGGGCTGTTTGGGAAAGAACATATCTGCTCTGCATGAACATTTTCCCAATAGATTACTTAAAAAAAAAAAAGCCAACCATCCCTGTAATACTGTGTCTATAGGAATAAGGCATTTGTTATTTCTGACCTTTTCTCTAGGTCCAGAGAATCTCAGGGTTGTAAGCCAAAACTTATCATGTTATTTTCCAGGTGCACAAAGGCATGGTTGAACTGACACATGCCACAAAGAAAGGGAGCAAGAGGTCTAGGAATAGAATTCTGTGACTTTGACCATGCCCTTCTTCCTGAGACTAATGGGCAGTCTTCCTGTCCCTCTCTTAATCAGATAACAACAGGAGACTAAATGGACTCATTTTTCTGTTAGGCAGCTATGAGGTTAGTTTTTTTGACTAGTCTCACCACGGCATGGAGAGATTCAATTTCCACTTGTAGATGGTGCCACTGACGGCGGGCCTCTTTGAGTTCTGCTCGGGCTGCCTTCAGCGCTTCTTCATCTTTGTCCATTTTCTTGGTTAAATCTTCTAGCTACAGAAAAAAAGGAGGGCATGATTACAAATGAGAAACTTTATAGAAATTCAGCATAAAACCACCATAAGGACCAGTCTTTTCCCCAATTTTGTGTGTGTGTGTGTGTGTGTGTGGTTATAGAACTTGACTTTTTTAGTGTCAGCCCTGCTGTTAATTAGTTGTGTGACCCTGAGCATGTCATTTGATGGCTCTTTGCCTTAGTTTCTCTCTATGTAAACTAAATGATCTCTAAGGGCCTCTAGCTTCAAAATTCTATAAAGCATGCAAATAAATACCCATTCACTTTGTGAGAAGATAAAAAGTCATTCCTAAGTTTTTTGTTTCTTGACTTCTCATGAAGGATCTCTTCTTTGAAGAAACTTGCCCATACCTTTAACTCATTTAAGACTACACAAATATAGTAAGGTAGGGGTAGCCAGATTGACTTAACTAGGAATATTTTGCACCTTGGGCAATCCCCCCAAACTACACTGAGCACAAATAGCAGGAATGGTACCTTCCACTGTGCTTATGGGGTAGAACCTTATGGGATGAAACAGAGACTCCAGGACATCAGGAGGCCACTGTGAGAGAGGCTACCCATATATTCCCCCTTCTAGAGGAAGGATTAGAGGTGTGTGGGAGCTAGCTCTTACCATCTCCCAAGAGCTGATTATTAAATTTTCAGTGTGAGCATTTATACCTTGGAAAATGGCAAATACTACAAATCAGGCCTTGATTTATTGTTTTGTTGATTGTCTAGACTTAAGAAAGGTATGGAGAAAATATTAACACAGATTAAATTTATAAGTGTATCCTGCATATATATGTTTATATGTTATATGCATATGTGTGTATATATGTACATGTGTATATATATAGTATGTGTATGTATGTATGTATATATATAGTGTATATGTATATATGTAGCACGTGCATTTGTATATACATACACACATATGTATGTATATGGAGAAAGAGAGAGCAAGGACAGGAGAGGGAAAGAGAGAGAGAGGAGGGGGAAAGAGATGAGGAGAGAGAGAGAGAGAGACAGAGAGAGAGAGTGGTCGCACGCACTAGAGAGCTGGTTGTTAAACGTTTATCAGTACACCCCATGGGAAGGGCCATTTGGTAGCTTCCTATTTTGATGAATCAGTCTGGGAAACCAGGGGAAAAGGTCAATTGTTCATGCGTAGCATCCAAGAAGCCCAATTAATTGGGGGTGAAGGTGGACTAGCAGCTCTCATAATAAGCAGATGGTTGGTTTGGAGGACACCAATCCTACCCTCTTAAAAAATACACACAAAAATCTGTGTCAGAGTTGGAAGGAACTGAAGAGACTATAACTCCAATGCTGCCATTTTACTGGAGGAAACCGAAGCCCTGGAAAAGGTGAATGACTCGTCTAAGGTCACAAAGGAAAGCTTATTTGAACTCTCATTGAAACTGAAGCTGTGATCAGATGTGGTCAAATGGAACCCAAATCACATAGGTTTGTAGACCGTTACAGTAGGAAGGGACATTAGAGACCATCTTGTCCAAAACCCCCTAATTTTACAGAGAAACTATAATAACAACTGTATAGCACCTACTATGTCAGACACTTTGCTAAGTGCTTTACAAATATCTTGTTTAATCCTCACAATAACCCTGAGTGGTAGGTGCTATTAATCCCATTTTACAGATGAAGAAACTGAGGCAAACAGGTTAAATGACTTGCCTAGGGTCAAATGGGTAGTAAGTGTCTAAGGTTGGATTTGAACTCAAGACTTCCTGACTCCAGGACCAGCATGGTATCCACAGCACAACCTAGCTGCAACAGAAACATTGTTAGAATAGGGAAAAGAACCCAGGTCTCTGGATTATCAGCAATGTGGTCCTTAACCAGGTTTTTGAAAGTTGGCTGTTCTTGTCTTATGATTCAGTACAAACAACTGAGCAGGAAAAAAGGGCTCTTGATTCTCCTAGGCATGGGAAATTCACAAGTACACACACACACACACACACACACACACACACACACACGCCCCAAGATCCTCTACCCTTCAGTTCTCTGCCCTTGGGAAAGTTTGAGCAGCTTTGGAAATTTTCTCAACTTTTCTCTGGGGTCAAACTTGGTTATTATAATTGCACAATATTTTCCTTCCTTCCTTCCTTCCTTCCTTCCTTCCTTCCTTCCTTCC